AAATCGAAATATCAAGATAAAACGTTTAAACGTAAAAAAATATGAATTGACGAGGAGGCAAATCACAAGAAACTTTTATCATGTGATAGTATTTTTTTTTTTGCGTTTCTTATTATAGATTTCTATTGTTGAATTTGTAAATATTTTTATTTTATTATATTATAAATAATAATAAACTTGATATTTTGGGCAGTTTTAATTTTTCAATTAAAAATAAATTTATTGTTTAATTGTCCTGAGCGAAGCGAAGGACTATATAATTCTGTGCATTGAGTAAATTTTGGTCATGTGAAGCGTTGTCCGCCACGTGATTTTCGTCCAATAAATCGCTCAGGACTCACAACGGTCCCCGTTTCCTAGGATATCTAAGATTTTTGTGCTCGCAAATTCCGCATCATCTTCAATCGAACTCACAAAGTATAACGGTGCATTTAATTCCATAGATACAAAATAGCTGACAAGGGTTTATCTTTGTTTTTACGTATGTTACGACAAGTTTCAAAAAAAGGTAATTAGATTAAAAATTGGTTTTTAATAGGAACCAAATCACATGATATTACACAACTTTCCAAAAACGGAATCTTGTGTGACCGATTTTTAGCAATTCTCTTGATTAAATTAGATAAACAAAAAATAAACAACATATTTATAGGAATTAGTTTAACGGAGCTTAATTCTGAATCATTGGTATTGAGAAATGATCAGCATATTCTCTGCCACATAACATGCATCACATATTCCTACACTGTCCCAAAATGGTTACCATTCAGGATACTATATGGAATATTTCGAACTATCGTCTACTAAATTTAATTCCGAATAAGATATGTAAGGAGTTTTGGTAATTATTATAATAAAATTGAGCATTTTTAGTTTGAAGAAATATTTTTTTAAGTTGTAGTTTTTAAAATAAAATAAAATACTAATACGAAAATTCGTCAGAGACATTATATTCCCATTGAACCTTCGATACAAGTGACAAGTTTTCTTCCCACACACGGGTGCTTTCTTTGCATAACGAATAATAGGATAGACAATAAAATAGCATACATGTATTGTATCAATCTGCAAAATGACAAAACGCCGTGTGTGTTTTTTTTTTACACGACATTTATTTTAATGTTTTCACATGTCACCAAATGAGATATTTTAAGAAATATTCTGTAAAAATCGATATTTAATGAATTTACTTTCTTTTTAATTTTGAAAAAAAAAAAAAAAAACAAAAAATCTCATTTTCTTTCAAAAAAAAAAAAAATAAAATAAATTTTCAAAAAATAATGATTATTACACAAACCTTGCTAACAATCGGCAGGTTACCCTTACCCGAATCCTGCCGACAATTGTCGGTAGGTTAGCCTTACCCGACCGAGAATGCGTGGGCGCCCACAATAGCCCCGCACAAGCCTGCCGACAATTCTAACGTCGGCAAGCTTCGTTGCCCCAACCGGCAGGTCGGGCAAAATAAAACGTTTGGATGTATGTACTTGGTTTTTAGTTTGGGTATTTGGATGTACAAATAGGTTTGGTTGTATTAGATATGTTGTTGTATTTGGATTCGCATTTGGATGTGCTGTTGATGTTGAGTTGAGTTGGGTAGGTTGCAATTAATGGGTGGAAGTTGTAGTTATTTGAAAGATCTTTGAAATTAATCGTGTATTTTTTTTAAATGTATTTTTTTTTTTATAATTAATAAATAAGGATAACATTTGTAACTATAATAAACATTATAATGATTAAATAAAAAATTATTTTTTAATTTTTATATATTTGATTCAAAATTTCGCCGGCGTTTATTTTAAAATTTTGCGGCTTATCGGATATTTTATTATATTAATTATAATTTCTGCTCATTTAGCGAAAACAAAAATAAATTTTTATTAATTTTTTTTCATATAGTAAACAAATGAGACAAATCGGACATGCATTTAAACGGAAGTTTAATGAACTATTTATTGTTAAAGTTAAATAACGTGAGTAAAAAAAAATGAATATGTATTTATTTATATTTGATTGGTGTAACTGATTTATACTCCTTTCGAATTATGTCGTCAAAAAGGATATCATCACCAGATATCATATCTTAAGGTTGAATCTATTTCAACCAACGGTAAATTATTAACTGTCTCATCACGGTACATTATTTAATTTGTTAAATTACCATATAATAAAATATACGAATATTACGAAAGAATACTTGAAATATAAAATGTTTGATCTTATCTTTATGAATTCACGAAACGAACACTTTAGATAAAAATTGCTCGGTTGTATCAATACGTAAAACATTTTTATTTTATTTTATTTTTTTTTTTAAGATAATAAAATCCAAAGAAATTATGAGGTCTATATTTTTTAAAAAAAATTTTTTTTTATCATAATAATTATAAATCGATGGAAGTAGGAAAAAAAAAAAAAAGTGCAAAATAGGGGTAAAACACTTTGATTCGATGGTACTGTCGAAAATCTAAATTATTTTAAAATCTCAATCATGATTTATTTAATAATATTTAAAAAGTTCATTTACTATTTCCTTTACGAAGGCATTATATCCCTTGTGAATTTTCAATCGTAAATATTGTCGTTATTTATAATTTATAACATTTAATTTTCTTTTAAAAATTAAAATTATTTTATTTATAATTTTATTTAATTATTAAAAACAGATATAATGAAATAAATTTTAGTAAAAAAAAAAATAAAAAATTCTAAATAATGCGTCATGAAGGTTGTTATGTTAATTAATAAGGTATAAACCGTATAGTCCCGAAAATTAGCACACAGTGACATACAGGCATTTATTAGTATATAGGTGACGAATAATATAATAAAATTACGTGACAAATAAATAAATTACATAAAGGATAGTGTCACAGGGTGCTTATTTTCGGGACTATACGATATTCGGACTTTGAGGGAGGGAGTTAAATTGAGGAAGATCCAAAGATAATCGTCACTAATCTGGCCGGGCACCACCTATTGCCCGACAGTATCCAGTATCCCGGATACTCCTCTTGACCAGCAGGACGCTCTTCTTGTCAAGTATTTCTCGATAATCTTCTTGTCCAGCTGTAAGTAGGTATTCTTGACCAGCTGTGTCAGAATATTCTTCTTGACAAGAGTATTCGAGTATACTCCACTTCCTTTACGGAGAATATTACTCTTCTTCCCGGACAAACTTGCTCTCGTCCAGCAGTTGGTCGGATAATCTTTTTTCCCTGTCTGCGGGTAGAATTTTCGAATGTAACCAAAATGACAAAAGTCAATGGTACATATAATTACAACATTTCTACTTTTTACAATTATTTTTTTGACCTTCTGTGAAGGTTTATTATTATGTTTGTGTTTCATTTTATTTGAACAACGCGCAAAATTGAATTTGAAAGGGTTACAGGGTTACTTTTATGATTTTTTTTTGATATACTTTTTTTTTTTTTTGGAAGGGATTTTCAGAGTTCTTTTATAATGAAAAAATTTTTTTTATTGTTATAATAATTTGGTAACAATGACTTACATTTTTACACAAAGAATCCTTACCAACTCTTTTGTCTGTTGGAATGATTATAAAAAAAGCTGGTTTTTTCGGTTACACAATTTATATACAAATAAAACGTTTGAACTTTATTACTTTTTTTTTTACCAAAAAAAAAAATCAAAATTCCGTAAAGTTTTCTAAAATAAAATATTAATGGATTGATTTACAAGAAATACTGCTAAAAGTAGGCATTCAATTGAAAAAAATGAGGGTTCAAATAGATTCTTTGTAATTACAATTAACTGTCAATAACAAACGTTCTTCATATGGATGCGGAATAAGATATAGAGACAACTTATTTAGAACATAAAATTTGATACAACAGATAAACAAATTGTTGGCTGATGTATTACGTTTATTATTTCCCTATTAAGAAAATTTTCTGGTCCGTGGATAATTTAGAACCAATTTATTATCGAATAAAAAAAAAGTTACATATTTTTTTTTTTTAAAGTTATTTGAAGAACAAAGAATGTCACCCTTTAAGATTTTTTCATCATCATTATCAGATATACTACTATCCGTTTCACTTGTATCTTCTATATTAATAACTTTTTTTATGCATTTTAATTTAATCCTTTTTGTATTTTTGATAGATAATATTTTGATGCGTGAGCATATTGGTGAACTTTAGAAAACAGACCATTACATTATTCTTTGAACATGTTTTATCCGTGGTACGAATCACGTTGTGTAATTTTATGCACGTTTCATTTTTAGAATTGGTAGAATAGATAGTTGAATAATTGTTCCATTTTAGAAATTGATGATTGTATATTTTAATCATTAAAATATTATTTAACGATGATCCCTTTTAGAAAAGAAAGAGTTATATTCAATCGAATCTATCACTGACTCCGTCACAATTAATACCATAGTCAATTGTACAAATGTGATTCGCAAAAGAGCAGATTATTTCCTGAAAGTGATCGACAAGCTGCGCCACAAAACAAATAGTCAATCGTATTTGAAAGACGCAGATTTGTTTGTATTTTGTATCCCTCCGTATTCGAAACGCTTGAAATTATTTTATTCGTAAGACTTTAAATCATTAAATTGTACAAATTATCCTATTCATGATGACAAAAATAGATAATATTTTCCGGAAACATATTTGACCAAAAAATGTGGTTGTGTAACTATAGTAATATTCGGACAAAATAGATATTGGGATGTATATAAGCTGTTACACAATTTTTATGATAACGGTTCAAAGAAAGTCGACTCGAAATTAAGATTCAATCGAATATGTAAAACAATATGAAAAAAAATTTTTTATTTTTGTTTGTATTATACATATACATGTAAAAATAAGTTCACTAAAATTTATCAACATCGATACGATAACTTCCTGCATGTTGTGATTGATTTACTTGTATATTCATAAACCTTTAAAAAAAGATACGTAATACTTCAAATGAAAATTACTACATTGGTTGTAAAATTAATTTTGTTTTCGGAGCTATAATTTTCTGTTTGAAAATATTTATGTTGCACCTTTATATAAAGATTAGAAATTTGGCTACTTTAAAGCAATCATTTAAAAAAATTATTTATATCGAGTACTCAACAAAACCTGTTAAATTTGCACAAAAATTAAATTTATATTAATGAATCAAAAAAGCTTTCGAGTTTATGCAAACATTAAATATTTTAAATTTTGCTACTTTTGTATTACAATTTTTATTGGCGAATTCTATCATTAATGAGCCCTTAAAGATAAGTATATATATTTCTTTCAGAAGGTACGAAAAAATAAACAAAATTTTATAATTATTATAATTACAATTTATATTGGGCGAATGTAATTTCTGTATAAGGAATAGAACCCTTAAATAAATTATATAAGTATACTTTCTATTCGTTCGTAAGACGCGAAAAAAAAAAAATTGTTATACTTTTATTAAAGTTAAATTATCGGAACGAATATAATTACCTATAAGGAATAGAAGATTCTAATCTTGGAAGAATCTTG